AACCCTGGGAGAGGTAAATTTCTCTCTCTCTCTCTCTTTTGCATAGGTGCATGTACATGCATCCAGTTGAAAAATGTGTTGTCTTTCTTTCTAAAGTTCTTATTCAGTTTCACTATTTAATTTCTCAAGATGTAAAGAATGATAAATTGTATGCTAGTTATTTTGTTGTTGTCTCCGTTGTTTGGTCCATTTTTTGTAAACATAACATTATGATTATTGCATACATATAGTACGATTAGCATAACATTTGATTACTTTCATTTAAAGATATATATATTGTAAAGAGACTTGCATATAATTGATTTAAATGGTTTTGTGTTTTATCAGGTTGTTTCTGGGAATCCAATGACCAAACCTTTGACTCTATGGGCAAATGCACCATATAAAAGTCAAATTATTGTAAGTTTATCTGGCAAAAAAGTCTTTTAAGCAATCCAAGCTCAAGATTTTGAATGCATTCTAAGTGCATGAATTGTTTCTTGTTGAACTTAACTCAGGACAAATAAAACTTAAAACAAATATTTACAGATAAATCTCCTTGATCAATATTGCAAAAATAAATAAATAAATAAATAATCATATTCATTGGCCCTTGTTCAACCAGGGTAGTCAGCCGTCTTGACACAGTTCGAAAATAAAATGGGTCACAGCCTATTGATTTCTGTTGAAACCATGGCTTAATTGACAGAAAAATTGTTTCCTTTATTTTTCAGATCAGAGCCGAGGAAATTCAGAGCAATAATGAAATGATCAATCTATCTTTCAAGGCTGAAAAACTTGATAAAAAGGTATGTTCTTGATTATTTAAATGTTGTATACTTAGTAAACAATGACTATTATATACTCGTTATGAGTTATCACTACTACATGATCATCCTTTAAGGCAAGCCTAAATCAATTCTGATAAAAGGTTTTACACTTTTTATATGGGTTTTGACTTGATATTCTACCAAGCTGCATTGTGTCATTTACTCCTCACAAATTTTGGAAATGTTGATGCCAGAATTTATTTCCCTTTCTGTTCCAGTGATTTACTTAGTTAAATTTGAAAATAACATATCTGGTAAACATGAAAATTCTCAGACACAAGCCTAAAATTTTCCATACCGTTAGCTTACGGCCAACCTGGTCGAAAAGGCCTTCATCAGACTGACGTGAGTAGTTGTTCACACTCACTGACCGCTAGGTGGTATAGCGGCCAGGACCCTCTTATAAATGTCAGGTAGATCAACCCCCCCGTCCCTATTCATGGGTGGCTGGTGTCGGCTGATGTTGATAGCCTCTCGTATTTTTCGCGGGATGTCGGATGATTCAGATTCAAGAATCTTAGTTGAATTCCAATCTATACTGTGGCCGGTGTCTATTACATGTTCAGAAATGGCAGAGCTGGTATTGCCTACAGTCACTGATTTCCTGTGTTCACTCACCCTGATCTTCAACTGTCTACCTGTCTCACCAATTAATGTAAAAGGAATTACAGTCATGGCAATTGATCCTGTATATTGTCCCACAACGGTGATCTTGGAGGGTTTTGTCCTTTGGTGCCACTAGGTGTTGTTTCAATGTGCACTGAGGTCTAAAAGCTGTGTTGACACTGTGCTTCTTGTAGATCCTGCACACTTTCTCTGAAATTCCTTTACAATAAGGGAGGATCACTAGCTGTTTTTTTCTGACTGTATCTGTTGGCTCACAGTTAGTTATTGCTGTCTTATCCTGATGAGGTTTGGTCTTTAGAGCCCAAGGTGGGTAACCATGCATGAGAGCCTCATCTAGTGTCTTGTTCTCCAAGGTCTTGTCTTCCTCATTAGTCACGATCGTGTTGCACCTGTGTTTTAGAGTTCTTACTACCCCCAGTTTCTGATGTAATGGGTGGTGCGACTGGAAGTTTAGGTATTGGTTGGTATGAGTGGCCTTCCTGTAGACTTTCAGACTCAGGTGGCCGTCGTTTTCATGTGTGATCAATGAATCCAGGAAAGGTCCTGGCTGCTATACCACCTAGCGGTCAGTGAGTGTGAACAACTACTCACGTCAGTCTGATGAAGGCCTTCGACCAGGTTGGCCGTAAGCTAACGGTACGGAAAATTTTAGGCTTGTGTCTGAGAATTTTCATGTTTATCCAACAACCAAGCTAATGAACATTTTTGCTCGCTAACATATCTGGTATTTAGTAACATACAGTATGTTTATGCAGCAATATTGATATTATTTCCTAGAATTTATAACAGATATTTTAAACCATTTATGTATGTCTTGCTTTTATAAAAGTACAAAATATCATAAAATATGCTTAAAAAAATTTGTATTATTAAGGACTTCTTGGGCAAGTCGGATCCTTTTTTGGAGATCAGTCGTCTCGGACGCGATAACCAGTGGCAGCCTGTCCACAGAACAGAGGTCAGTGGTTTAGAATTTAACTGGACATACTGGTAGGTCAGTTTTTAGATGTCTTAAAGCTGAGGCCTTTTACTTATTTTTATGAGAGTTAAGGGTCAGTTTTTAAGAGTTTATAGGACAGAGATCAGTCACCAATTGCTTAGTGTGCATGCCCATGTCTTCTATATACATATGATATTTTTAAATTATGAAAATAATATTGAAATAATAATGTCTTCATTAACAGTGCATATCTAAAATAATTTTTCTCCTTTAAATTCCATTAAATTAAACATCCAACTGGGCTTTTATCTGCTGTTAGTACAGAGTTACATAATATATCCCCTTACAGGTATCAGTTTTTTAAATACACCTGTTGTGAGCATGCAGTGAATTTTTAACTCTTACATAGTAGGGTTAAGCTGGCTCTAAGATAAAAGAAAATTAAAAATGTAATTTACTATACTACACATATTTTTTTCAGGTTAGAAAGAACACCCTGAATCCCACGTGGAAACCTTTTAAACTGAATCTGAACACCCTGTGTTTCAATCAACCAAAATTGCAGATCAAGGTGAGGCCTGTCTTCAGTATTATGGGATAGAATTAGCATTATGGGATGTTATACTTTGGCACTCAGTCATGTAATGTAAAAGGTTTTGTGATACTGTAATAACTTCACATGTTAATTAAATCTAATTGTTTTAAGCAACTGCCATTAGACCCCTTTGGGCTTGGAGAGCAAGTTGACTGTATTACCTCATGCATGCAAACACTTAATGATTACAGGAAATATTAAAAAAGGACTCAGTCTGATTAAAATCTTAATTTGCCTTTAGTGGTCGCAAAGGTCAGAATCTATCTTTATTTTATCAATTTTTGGAATTTGATAGTTGTTAATATATTGTATGTGTATTCATCTTTTTTCCCATCAAGATTGACTGTTATGACCATGATGATGATGGTAGCCATGATCTGATTGGTGGATTTACCACCACCTTGACTGAACTCCTGAAGGCTGAGACGAGTCAGGTAAGTGTTGTCTACAACATATAGTTTCGAAAAAAAAAACAAACTTTCTTTTGCGTTTTTGTACTATTATCAAAAAACATTGGTTTGTGTGAAATCCTGAGGAAAACTTGACATGCAGTACCGCTGACATATTCACTAACCCTATAAAACGCATCCTTGTAGCCTAGAATATATTGTTTGTGGGTATAACGGTAATAATGCATACATGAATTCTCATGCAATAAATTAAGTAGGATATGGTGATTCATACAGACACTTCATTGTAAACAGATGTTACCCAAACATATTCAGAGTTTTTATTTGTACTTAATACAGAAAAGATAAGATTTTAGAAAAACCTAAATATGTTTTTGAAAAGACTTTTATTTTCACTATATTGTGATATAGATGCACATACTTAATGATTCAGGTTTCATTTGCTAGATATCTTGAACTAAGATATTGTTTCTGAAAATGTTTTTTAAAAGTACACAAAATTATATTTTTAAGTATAAATGCTGACTAGAGAGGAAATTTTACAATGCCCTTAAAAGCTTAAAAAATATTTCAAATGAAGCTCAGTATTAAAAGTTTCACGTACAAAATAGTCCCAGAATTGATTTTTCCCCTAAGTTATGCTAGTTTATGAAGGATTTTAATAGTAAAAAGCATTTGGACAAAAAGGCACATTTATAAATGCAAAAATATTCTCTCATTGATCCCTGTGGTTGACGTACTGTATAACAATTATCTGCAGAATAAAATGCTGTTAAAGCAAATAGAGATGAAAGTCTGTAATTTTCTTTTAAGCAGAACATATCTTGTAGTTTTACAAAACCTCTTTTTAGGTAAAATAGCTGATCAGCTTTGCCCTAACTGAAAACTTGGAGTCGAAACAGTGATAAATCAGCATTTTTTTGTAAAAAAATCTTCAACCCAACAAATGATCTTTAACATTCAACTGAATGTAATCCTACTTTCAGGCTATTATAGTTAAAAATACTACATTTCTTACTTTTATACTGAAACACACTGAATTATCATTCGAAAGGTATGAGTTGACATTTATCTCCAATATTTCTGTGTGAAGTTCATGTCAGCCATTCACTCCCAAAAGAAAGTTCTGTCTTAGAGATTCATCAAATCCAATGCAGATCCTGTGATGTCGCATAATTTGTAACAATTGAGCAGTTTTCTTATTCATATTATAGTTTTCCAAATTTATTATCCAAGATGAATTACAGTGTATGGAACTGTGATATTGAAGGATTCCTCTTCTGTAAAAATCTAGCAATATATTTATATGAAAATATAGTCACAGCAGAATTATGAATGACCCTGCTAAATGTATGGATTTGGCTTATTTATCCTCTTCATGGAAGAAAGTACTTCTCTTTTTAATAGCAGTAACAGTAATATATACAGTGTATGTCGATTTGGTGTTATTTCCTGAGAGATTTCTTCAGCAGTATTCTGCTCATAGTCAGTAGAGATATACATTGGACGTAGTATGGTGAAATAAGACATTTTCCAACCTGATAGATCAAGCTTCTCAGTATTTATGCTAATTTGTCATTTTTCTTCCTTAGTTTTTCATAGTAGTGATTAGTTTCACCATATATATAGATTATTTGGAACTTCAGAGTAGATGAAAGCAAGCGTGTTTTTTTAAGAAATATGAGGTCTTTTGAGTGATGGTGTCATGTGACCATGCCTCCTATCCACACAGAGGCTCCATGGCCACCATTTTCTCTGCACAGGTCAAGGGCAAGCTCACGACCTTGAAGAGGGCCTCATTGATTGGTTTAATGCAGTCGCAGCAGGCTTGGAATGGTAGTAGAAGAATGTACAGCCAGGCGATAAAAAAGGCAATTGGCCAGGCTGCAAACCAGAGAATTAGAAGCCATAGAATAGCCCACAATATGCCAGGACAGAGGTCGCCTCTTCCACTTCCTTCTCCTTGACCCATTATAAGTTAATTGACCTTGAATGACCTTGGTGGCTTGACCTGACGTGTCCTTGATGACCTTCAACTTGGCTTTTATACTTTTTGTGTCTGAAAATGAATAAAAACAGACATTATGCTTTATTTTATTTTGGCAACAAAAATGGATTTTTCTTTAGGAAAAACTTGATTTTTAAATGAGTACATCATAAAAATAACATTAAATATTGGTGGAAGATAGATTTCAGTCAATATTTGAATGGTGCAAATTGTGTTTGCCTTGTCACCGCACTGAATAAAATAATATTGCATTTTACAAAAGTCATGAAAGCATACCCTCTTAATATGCATGTAGCAAACTCACTAAGATAAAAGGGTTAATATAACAGCAATAACACTATTAGCCTTGAGGTTTTAGGTCATTGTTGATTTGGGCCCTGGATATAAATGTGCATTTGCACTGTCATTAAATAGCAATTTGATGAATGATATATGTACTCAGTGAACAAAAGAACTCAAACATATTCTCCAAAATAACATTTTGTTTTAAAATAACTGAAAAGGTTGATTTCAAATTAGAAAAGTAAGTTAACTCCATGGCATTAAAAAATGTATAGTTTAGTAAGTGACTAATAATGATAAATTTTGATAAAATCAAATACTGAAATGAGTGTGGCATTTGAAAATTTGAAGTAATTACTTTATAACATTGTGCAGTTTGGCTATTCAAGCAGTCATTTTACATGTTGTATGATTCTGAACTAAATAAATACTATCCTGAAACATGAACACCTGGCATATTCTGAACACACACACACACACACACACACACACACACACACTTTGATATAGCTAGGATCCCTTTTCCATTTTCAAATGTTATTCCACAAGCTACTGTTTGGAATGATATTAATTAGGCATTTTACCTTAGGTTTTAAAGTCATACTTCATATAGAACCACATTGTAATTTTTTGACAATATTGTAGTCTTTTTTTATTCAGTATTGTAGAGTCTTTATTCTCAATGCACACTTGCACATTTAATGACAAATTTTGATGAGAAATGTGTTTTATTTTAGAATCCACACAGAGATTTGAATAGGGAAAATACATTCAGAGATATAACTAGTGCTGTACATATAGCAATTAAGTACATTGTGGTGTGTAGGTGTGGTATGTTGTGTATGTTGTATGGCCTGGAGTAATGTACCAGGTTTACCAGGTATACAGCCAGCCACTTCCATGTGTGACACTTTACAAGACAAGTTGACACATTAGAATGGCATTTTTGGCTTAAGGGTGGTGGGAATTACTTGCGTTTGAGTAGATATTTGTTTATAATGAATCTCTCTCTCTCTCTCTCTCTCTCTCTCTCTCTCTCTCTCATGACTATAACAAGTCTTTATAGGAATAAAATATAATCATCTAACACAAGAGAATAAAGACTGCATAAATATTAACTTTTACTTCTGCTATTATATTAAACTTATTCTTAGTATTTTTCTGTATGTACATAGCAAGGCACATCAAGCTGAAGGATTAATGAACATTATCTTTTGGGTCATCAAAATATTGGTTCGACAAATATGTTAATGTACTAGTGCACATATTTCCAACATAAGTATCTTCTGTTACTGGTACATAGAAATATAGGTTTTATCTATTTTTCTTAGTGAAAAGGAAAATCCACGCTGACAGATTGGTTTTCATCTTTTTGGCCATCAAAGCATTGGAACATCAAACATTTAAGTTAATATATATATTTGCATTTTTACAAGTACACGTATTCTCCACCTCAACAGCATATCAAGCACCCATTTCCAAAGATAATGGTTTCCAGTAATATATGAAATGCATTTATTTAAGTCTGCTAGCTAAAGTAAGTTTATAATATGATATTTTAAACAGCATTAACGAGGGGGTTATCTCGGCAGCTTTTGCTGTATATTGGAAAATTCTCAGATGATTACCTAATCTATTGAATACAATTTATATTCCTTTTAAATTTATCTAGAATAGTATGCACTATGTAAATATACATAGCATGTGTACAAACTACTAACTACAAACTCTCTCAGCACTGTGTATATTTGCTTTCAGTCTTGTATATAGAATTCTACTTTAGTGGCAGGGACTTCTTATTATTCCTGATTCTTGATTCTAAACTAATTTAAATGTGGTATCACTCAGGGGAGGGTTTCATATAAGACTTGAGACTGAAAACTTAGACCTACTACAATGCAGGAGTGAAATAAGCAGTAACAGTTATTAGTGAAATAAGCCAAAACCTTTGATCCTTTCTTCTCATAAAAAGGTGAAACATTTGATTACATAATACTTATTATGGTTTAATTACTACTTGTTTATCTTGCTGTAAAGCAAACTAAAACTTTTGACTAAAAGTCAAGACCAACGTTTAGTCTAAAATTAGTTTGTGAGACTAGCCTGATACCTTATACATTTAGAAAATTGAATGCTTTCACTGTGATCATTATTATTGTATATGAACATTAGTAAAGACACAGAGCTTATTTATAACATGATGGCTTGAATTAGCAGCTATCCAGTCCACGAGAAAGTTATCTGAACAGGACAGGGTTTTTCTAAATGCTTGGG